ATGACCCAGAACTCAAGATAGGAAATGTAAGGTTCCCACATTCTGGACCCATAGACTTCCCTCCCACCCTCTACAAACTCCTGCATGTCAAGGCCACTCGTGTATTTATGCATCCTAGAATTCAGGATTTAATACTTAAAAATTGTATTCTTCGGGGCTGTCATTGTGTCAAAGCAGGTTAAGCCGCAGCCTGGACTACCAGCATCCCATATGGGCTGCTCCACTTCTGATCCAGCTCCCTGCTAATGTGCCTGGGAAAGCAACAGAGGATGGCCCAAGTCCTTGGGTCCCATGCACCCACATGGGAGACCTGGGAGAAGCTCAGGGCACCTGGCTTCAGCCTGGCCCGGCCCTGGCCATTGTGGCCATTTCAGGAGTGAACCAGAGGTTGGAAGATCTCTCTCTCTCTCTCTCTCTCTCTAACTCTGCCTTTCAAATAAATAAAGACAAATCTTTTTAAAAATTATCTTCTTCAAATGCCTCTGGCTGTCTTGCCTCTTTACCCTCTAGTGCACCCTCTTGGTAAAATTCCAGTTGTTTATCTGGGGCAAACATCTGTGATCTTCCCTCTTTCCTGGACCTTCAATTTGCTCTTTATCCTATCTACCCTCTTAAGTATGAAGCAAAGCCCATCCCCTACCCTGGGTTCCTCCAGCTTTCATAGTGCGCTTTGCTTCTTGACAGCCCTTCACAACAAGCTTCTGGAAAACGCAGCCTCCCTTGGCCGCCTCCACTTCCTGACCTCCCACTTCTTCCTCAGTCTCCTGCAGCTTTGTCGTCCAATCCCGCTACCCCACTGTTGAAATTACTGCAGCTCTTCTAGTCCTTAATTGAATGGGCATTTTTTTTTTGGTGCATCCTCTTTAGGATCTAACACCATTGACAACTTTCTTCTTTTCATAATGTTCTGTCCCCAAGGCTTCCAGGACACACTATTGCCTCTTCGCCCTCTGACCTCTCTGGCTGCTCCCTTCCTCATCTGCACATTTGCACCTGCAGCCATAAGTGTTAGCATTTCACCTTCAGTCCTATTGAATGACTTGGTCATTTTCTGGGAAAGAAAACAAAGCCATGATGACTCATACATCCATATGTTCAGCCACAGCTTTTTCTACACTTGATCTAACTGCAGTTGAAGTCCGCAGGCACTTAAAGTTTACCATATCCCTAACTCCTTGTTTCCCTTTCTTCCTCCTTCTATTTTATTTTGTTCCTCCAAGTGAACACCTGCACCAGACACCCAATTTTGAGTTATTTCTTCTTCACCAGGTGAAAAAAGTCCCTAATGACTATTTAATAATACTATTTCATTCTTCTATTCCATTTTCCATTGCTCCTACTACTGCACCTGTTCATAGCCCCCCCTTTTAGCTTTTCCCATTATGATACAATTAGCACACAATATTATTCATTCTTTCAAGTGTATAGATAGTTCTATTAGTTTTGACAAATGTGTATAGTCATGTAAGCACAACCACAATCAAAATATGAAACAGTTCCATCACATCCCCAAAACACTCTTTCCTGCTCATTTGCAGTCAACCCCTTCCCTTATTCCCAGTCCCTGGAAACCATGGGTCTGTTTTCTATCTCTATAGTTTTCTCTTTTCCAGAATGCCCTGTAAATGGAGTTATAAAGTGTGTAACCTTTGAGTCTGGCATCCTTTACTCGGCATAATAAATCTGAGATTTAACCATGCTCTGGTAAGCATCTGCAGCTCATTCCTTTTTGTTATATGGATGTAGCAGTTTGTTTATCTAGTCATCAGTTGAAGAGCATTTACTTTGTTTTTAGTCTTTGGCAATCGTGAATAAAACCACTATAAACATCCATGTTTAGGTTTCTGTGTGAACATAAGTTTTCATTTCACTTGAGTAAATACCTAGGAGTAGGATTGCTAGGTCATGAGGTAACTATAGTATGTATAATGTTGTGGTTTTTTTTTTTAATATTTTATTTATTTGAAAGGCAGAGTTAGAGAGAGAGAGAGAGAGAGAGAAAGAGAGAGAGAGAGAGAGAGAGAGAGAGAGAGAGAGAGAAAGTCTTCCATCTGCTGGTTCACTCTCCAAATGGCCACAATGGCCAGGGCTGGACCAGGCTGAAGCCAGGAGCCAGGAGCTTCATCCAGGTCTCCCACATAGGTGGCAGGGGGCGAAACACTTGGACCATCTTCTGTTGCTTTCCCAGGTGCATTAGCAGGGAGCAGGATCAGAAGTAGAGCAGCTGGGACTTAAACCAGCACCCATATGGGAGGCCAGCATTGCAGACAGTGGCTTAACCCATTACATCACAATGCCAGCCCCTAATATTATTTAAAAAAAAAAAAAAACAAAACCATGAAACTGTTTTTCAAAGTGACTGGTACATCTTGGGTTCCCATCAGTGATGCCTGAGAGTTCCAGGTGCTCTGCCTCTGTGTCAGTAATTGGCTTTGTCAGATTTTTCTCTTACTTTAGCCATTCTAAGGGTGAATGAGATGGTTCCTTGGGGCTTTAATTTGCATTCACTAATGATTCATGACTCTGGCTACCTCTGTCATGTGCTTATTTGACAGCCATATATCCTCTTTGGTCAAGTATTTATTCAGATATTTGGGCCTCGCTTCTCTTTTTACATTGGATTATTTTTCTACTCTTGGGTTTTAAGAGTTTGTATGCAAGTCCTTTATCAGATATGTTTTGCAAAATTTTTCTTCCAGTCTGTGGTTTGTCTTTCCGAGTTTCTTCTAAAAAAAAAAAAACTTTCTATTTTGAGATAATTGTGGATTCACATACAGTTGTAAAAAATAATACAGAGATGACTGGCATGCCCTTCCCCCAGTCTCCCCCAGTGGTCAAATCTCCCCGCTATAGTGGACTGTCACAATCAGGGAACTGACAGTGATAGAACTCCCAACTTGACTCAATCTGATTTGACTCTCATCAGCTTTATATGCACTCATTTGAGTGTGTGTGTGTATTTCATTCTATGCAATGCTATCACATATGTAGATTTCTGTGACCACCATCATAGTCAAAATGCAGAACAATCCATCACAAGAATTGCTTTTAAACCATAGCCACCTCATCAGCTCCTTGGCAACCACTAATCTCCTGTTCATCTCTATAATTTTGCCATCTCAAGAATGTTACATATGTGGAATCATGCAGTATTTAACTTTGGAGTCTGGCTCCTTTCACACAGCATCATTCCCCAGAAATCCTTGCAAGTCATCACATGTATCAAGAGTTCCTTCCTTTTTATTGTCAAATCATATTCCATGACTTGTTCAAGCATTCCTTGGAATATCTGGTTTGTTCCCACTTTGGGGTTAATACCAACAAAAGTGCTATGAACACTCAGGTATACGTTTTGTGGGAAGACAGGCTTTCATTTCTCTGGGATAAATGCCCACGAGTGCAACTGCTGAGTCTTAGAGTGGTAGCACCTTCAGTTTTGTCAGAAACTGCTGAACTGTTTTCCAGAGTGGCTGTGCTATTCCACACGACACCTCTTACATTATACAGTCCCACCAGTAAAGCAGGAGTGATTCAGTCTCTTCATTTCCAGATGCTCCCACAGCTGGTGTTGTCACTATTTTTTATTTCAGCCATTCTGATGGGGTATAGTGATATCTCTTTGTGATTTAAATCTAGGTTTCCTTGGTGGGTAATGATGTTTAGTATGGTTTCATGTGCTCAGCATCTTTTGAGGAGCCCATCCTTTTTTTTTTTAAAGAGGTTTTTAATTATTATTTTTTTATTTTTTTTTTTTAAGAGAGAGACAGAGCTCCCATCACTGGTTCATTTCCCAGATGCCCATCTTGGGTGGAGCTGGACTGGGCAGAGCTTGGCCTACACGGAGCCAGGAACTCATTCTAGGTCTCCTACGTGGGTGGCAGGGGCCCAGCCAATTTCTTAAGCCATCACCACTGCCTCGCGGGATCTGCATTGGCAGGAAGCTGGAATTGGGAGCTGGAGCCAGGAACCCAACCAAATTCCTTTGGCATGGAATTTCCGGGTCTTAACCGCTAAGCTGAACATGGCTCCCGTGCTTTCTTTCTTTCTTTTTTTTACAGGCAGAGTGGACAGTGAGAGAGAGACAGAAAGGTCTTCCTTTGCCGTTGGTTCACCCTCCAATGGCCGCTGCAGCCGGCGCACCGCGCTGATCCGATGGCAGGAGCCAGGTACTTCTCCTGGTCTCCCATGGGGTGCAGGGCCCAAGGACTTGGGCCATCCTCCACTGCACTCTCTGGCCACAGCAGAGAGCTGGTCTGGAAGAGGGGCAACCGGGACAGAATCTGGCGCCCCGACAGGGACTAGAACCCGGTGTGCCGGAGCCGCAACCTGCTTTCTTAATATAATCATTGCATGGAAAAGTCCCCCTTTCGCAAGCCCTGTCCTTTTTCAACCCCACCTTGGCTATAATTTCCAGCTGAACATGTCCTTCATCTGATGGTGACCTCCATTCAGGCAAGGACGATTTGCTCAGCTCCAGATGCCCCCAGGACACTGCATGTTGTCAATCAAGTGCCATTTCTTTAATGAACCAGTAATAAAAGGGAGAATGACTTCAGTGCTAAGACTGCAGCAAAGAACAGGCCAGGGCCGGTGTTGCGGTGTACTGGGTAAAGCCGCATCCCACATGGGCACCAGTTCTAATCTCCACTGCTCCATTTCTGATCCAGCTCTCTGTTAATGGCCTAGGAAAGTAGCAGAAGACAACCCAAGTGGTTTGGCCCCTGCCACCCACGTGGAAGACCCGGAGGAAGCTCCTGGCTTAAGTCTTTACAGTCATTTGGGGGAGTTAAACCAGTCAATATAAGATCTCTCTCTGTCTCTCCCCTTCTATTTGTGCCTTTCAAATCAATTAATCAAAGAGCTTATTTCCAAATACAGTCACATTAAAATTTTTTTTAAAAAAAGAACAGGCCAAGCCACGGTGGCTGTCATCCCTTTAGCCACCGTCCAGGATAGCACTGGCACTAACCCCAGATCGCAGGACCTTGCCCATGCACATGCGCAGCGCTCTCCGCTCGGCCCGCCCCTTCAGGGCCTCTTCCTCGGCCCGCCCCTCTCCACCCCGGCCAATTAGGGAGAGGAGGCGGAGTCCTGCTTGCCGCGGTGCTCCCTGGGTAGCGTCCCTAGTTACTGTTGCTAAGGCTGCAGGTCTTCGGAGCCGGTGAGGGTCAGAAGTGGGAACCAGGACCTGAGAGGTCAAGGGTCGGTGCAGAGCCGGGGAGGAGATGGTGAATCAGCCGATCCAGATTTTCGCGAGGGTGAAGCCTCCTCTCCGGAAACACCAGCAAGGGGTACGGGTCGGAGCTGCCAGGGCGCCAACGCGGCGGGGCCTCCCGGGCCTGGGAGGGGTGGCAGGCGAGGGGGCTGGGCCGGTGTGAGGGGCTTCGAGGCCGGCGCGGTGCTGCCCGCTGACCTAGGCACCCCGCTGCCACGCAGACCTCCACGCACTCGTCAGGGACGCGACCGGCGGCCCGCCGCGCCACAGCCTCGGCACAGCTGGGCACACTCACGCGGACCCCGCGCCCCTGCGCCCCGGCGCACGCGTCCCGCGGGGCCGCCCTGCGCGTGTGCCCGCACTCGGCTACCTTCAGAAGAGGATTTCGCACAGGGGCAGAGCTGGCCGCTACGGAAGGGTGTTTGGACCCGTGGGGCCGTCTCCAGGTCCGGAGCACGGGCACGTCCAGTCCTCTGCGGGCAGCCGTAGATACACAGTCGGGGTAGACACGGAGGGCCTCCGGGAGCCACCGAGAACGCACACACCCATCTCACTCAGAAACTTGAGTGTTCTCAAGGTGCTTCCTCCAGGGAGCGAAATCCAGGCAGAGAGTCTGTGCTGCTGCTACGGTGTTCAAAGCATTGCTTACCCTGCCTCAAAGGGGGCGTAGCCGGTCTTCCCGCCTCCTGAGAACTTGCCCCGACAGGTTATTTCCCACTGACCCAAGAAGGCTGCGGGCTGGGTGTTTTCTCACTTTACAGATGAGGAGACAGGCTCAGGTTGCATACCCTGGCCCAGGCCCCCAGCTGGTGAGCGGTTGTAATTAAAGCTTCTTTATTCCAAAGCCATGCTCTGTTCAGACAAAACCTTTGCCTCCCAAAGTGAGAATGTAGGCATGAGCAATTTGGGCCATATTCGTGAGTGCCTGGGATTGGTATTTCATTAATAATACGTTGTCCCTATCCTGTATCTGTGGCGGTGCATTTATTTGTGTAACCTCATGCAATCTCATAGTTAGCATTTTCCTCATGTTAGCTGTGTACTTGTAACAAGGAGAATGTGGTAGCTTTGTCATCGTCATCATTAGTTCTATTGCCAGAATAGATTCAGGAGAGCATGCATGAGAAGAATCCAGGGAAAATGTTGACTTAAAAAAAAGAGGGAGAGAGAAAACCGTGTAGGAAGATCCATGGGCATCTTCCCATTTTCTTTCCTCTTACAGTCACTTACATGAAGATTTTAAAAAGTATATCCTATGTAAACAGTGTCTTAAATGTAACATTTCTCTCCAGATTCCTAGCCAAAAATGTTGGGTTAGCTACCGAGTCAGGAGCAGATGCTTGGTTATGGTAAAGTGAGCAGGTGGGTAGGTGTGGACTTGGAGGTGTTGATGTAGACAATTCAGCAATAATGTCTTCTCCTTTCTTGCTGCTTCGGTGAGTTTGTGGAATTGCTGTTTGATCCTCTGGAAGTATTTCTAGGTGTCACACTGCATTTCATGATGTCACGCTCTTACCGAGATGTAGCATTGTGCCACACACAGCTAAAGGATGGGGTGAATGAATGCTGGGTCAGGGTGTTCCACTCTCCCTTAGAACCCCACGTGTCAGCACTGTATCTTGTCCCCGTGTTTCTTTCTAGAAATGCTCCTAGGAACATTCGATCAAGAGTGAACTCAAAGGCTTTATTAAAGTTTTCATTGAAGCATCATAAATTAAATTATAACATTCAGATTAGTAGAAGGAGATATGTAAAATATGAACCTCTTTGATAATTTTAGCAATGGCAATGCTTTTCATTTGTAGAGTGCTTTGTACAGTTCAAAAGCATTTTCACATTCATTGTTGCATTTGTTCTGAAAAAACTTCCCATCTCAAATGATATATTTATGAGTAAGGGTAGAAAACTAGTAAAGAGATGAATTTTTTTTTAAATGTGTGGCAACCCCCCCCCCCATCATGTCTAGCTGTTAAATCAAAATGTAGTGTCCCAGAGGATATAATTTAAAAATATCTCCTGAGAACGTCTAGCCAGAAAGCCTTGGACCTGATACCATTGCTTTCTACAGATGATTTTATTTTACACAATGACTTTTCTACATGAAGTCTTCATGTTTTCAAAGAGAGGTTTCAATAAAAACCTGCGTAGGAAATTATTCACACTTCCTGGAGATTTAGGTAGGCTTTTACTTGCTTAGAAATACGACCTTTCCCCCACTGTCAAGCTTCTAAATGGGTCTTCAACTGCAAGTATTTCTCCATTAGAAAGAATTTTTATTCCCTGGTGAAAGACAAGAAGTCTTCTTAAAAGACCTCTAAATTGAATGGCTAACCATTTTTATGGTGCATTACGAAACACTTTCATTTCCATGACATCATTTGATCCCCAGCAGTCTTGGGAGGTTGCAGTTCTGTTCTCCTTGATTGTGAAAGATGTGATCACAAGTGTAAAGGTGACCTCAAGTCACACAGCTGGTAAATCAAGCTCAATGCTGGACCCAGCTCTTTGGAAACCACATCTTGCACTTTTTTTTTTTTTTTTTTTTAAGTAAGCTTGAGCCTCAATTGTCCTGGCCAACACAGGAAGGAGTAGGTAACCAAGAAGAGGATCAGAGTGTTCAGTTGTGAGGACTCTGGTTAAGACCTTCCATTCCCATATTAGTTTTAAGATGCTAAGTGATTTCTCCCAAGTCATTTGCTAATTAGCGGCTAAGCTGAGCTGAGAACCTTGAAAATGAGATCAAAGACATGAATTACATGTGTTTTTGAGACTGTATGTCTTTTATCAAGTGCCTGAATGTATCTCATGGAAACTTGGGCTTCTTTGAACATAACTTGAATTAGAGCATTCTTACAAGCTCTCTGAGAAGGCTCAGTCATGGTCCATTTATCTGTGTGTCTGGTAGTTTGTAAATGTTCAGAAAAGCTTATTGGTTGTAGTAAAATGCTAATTTCTGATACACGATTCCAAAGCAGTGCTTAGATAACATGTTGCTTTCAGGGCTATTGGTTTTTCCTTGACAACAACTGAGACTCTCAAAAGCTCAAATTTGAATATCCGATCATTCAAAGATGATCTGAGCTTAGATACAGCATTGATTTAGGCTTTTACTTCTTGTTCTGTTCCACATACCTGAGTCCTCACACTGCTCAATTATCCACATTTGATAGTATGATTTTTTTATTTTAAAAGTACGTTTTTCAAACCATTACATGTCATAGTGCAAGCTATAATTTTACCATTTATAGTAATTTATCTTTATTATTTGTAGATTTATTCCATAGATGAAGATGAAAAATTAACAGCTAGCTTGGAAATTATCTTACCACGTGATTTGGCAGATGGATTTGTGAATAATAAACGAGAAAGCTACAAATTTAAGTAAGTTTATCTTTCTTTTTCATTTTTGTTTCATTATTTAATTCTTTTTTTTTTAAGATTTATTTTTTATTTGAAAGAGTTAACAGAGAGAGAGAGAGACAGATCTTCCATCTGCTGGTTCAGTCCCCAAGTGGCTGCAATGGCCTGGGGCTGGGTCAGGCGCAAGCTAGGAGCCAGGAACTTCTTCTGGGTCTCCCTCATGGGTGCAGGGGCACAGCACTTGGGCCATCTTCGACTGCTTTCCCTGGTGTATTTGCAGGGAGCTGGATCAGAAGTGGAGCCTGTATAGACTTGGCACTGCTGATGGCTGCTTAACCCACCATGCCACAGCGTCTGCCCCTGTTATTTAATTCTTGTATTGCGTTACTATCCACTGTGAAGTCATAAAGGATCATTTCTTGTAGAAACTGTAGTGTAACTGTCTCATTTAGTAGACAGAACTCAAGTTGTATTTTTACTCCTACGCCTCAGATTGAAAAAAGGGTTGCTGGTTCGAGTCCTGGCCACTCTACTTCCCACCCAGCTCCCTGCAGGTGTGCCTAGGAAAGCAGCTGAGGATAGCCCAAGTGCTTGCACCCACATGGGAGACCCAGAGGAGTCTCCAGGACCCTGGCTGGATGAGCCCAGCTCCAGCTGTTGTGGCCATTTGGGGAAGTGAACCAGCAGATGGAGGATCTCTCTCACTCTCTCTCTGGCTTTGCCTTTCAAATAAATAAATAAATAACTCTTTAAAAAGGTGTATGCAGGGGGGCAAAGAGGGTGTATTTCTGTATCCAAGATCATATTCCAAGTTCCAGCCTTTCTTTCCTACCCCTACTTATCTAGCGTTATCCTTTTGCGTCTCAGTCCACTATGGCTTAGCACTTACAGGAAGTTCCAATGTGTTACTAAACTGTATTAATGATGAGCACTTAGAGTACAGTCTGTGCTGGCTTGGTGAGCCTTCTTTATAATGGGAGGGCTACGTGGGCCTCATACACACAGGTGTGCTTTCTTTGTGCTGCCCAGGGCCATGAGCACCAGCAACATGTGCCTCAGTAGCACTTGAAATGTCTCGCTAGACATGAGATGTGCTGTCACGTGTGCAATGTATGGAGGCTTTTTACATGACGACTTCGTATTTTCTTTTTGATTGTGAAATATCTCCAATGGGAATAAAAGCATTGGGGCTATATCGGGTAAAAAGTATGCTATTAAAGTTATTTTCACCTATTCTTTCTTACTTTGAAAAATATGACTACTAGATCATTTAAGTCACAGACAAGGGGACTTCATAAAATTTATGGAAAATGGAATGAAAACAAATTTGTTTTGATGTAAAAAATTTTGGAATCTCTGCATAGTTTTTATAAACTTTTTAAAGTCCCCTTGTCCCCTCATGTGTATGGATTTCTGTTTGGTTCTGGTGAAAAGCACTGCCCCAGGGTGGTCCCTGTCCCCCCCACACCCCTCACTGTGGAGCTTTTAGTCTAGATACGCTCCTGGTGGCCAGGCCCTGACCTGTGTGGTTGTGCTGTTTCCTACTGTCCTTATTCTCTAGTTTCAGGTGGAGCCATTTCTTTTCATCTTTGCCTTTTATTTCTGGAGAAATCTGAGCCCAGCCTAAATCTGTATTGAATGTTTGGTCCAAACTCCAGCGGTGGCCTTCAGGGTGCTGTGGACAGAGCCCTTGAGTTCCTCTCCAGGCCATTTTTTTGCCCTTGCCTTCGGGTAAATTATCCCTGGTCTTTTTTTTTTTTTTTTTAATGAGTTTTGTCTTTCTCTTTATTGTTATATTCTGACTTGCCCTGATTTTTTTGTCTTATGAAGAATTCTTGATCTTCATAGCTGCACTTTCATCTCTCATGTGTATGTATCTCTTCCTCCACCTCCTCCCCACCTTCTTACTGTATCTCCTTATACAGGAAGCACAGGCGGGGTTGCTGTTGCATGGCGAGGTGAGCTTTGGCTTGTCTTTGTGCCTCCCATTGCGTTTGGTCATATCCGTGAAGCACCAGCCCTATCTCTAATGCTCGAGTTACTTTTTCTGAAGGAGGCATTCCCCCACTGACCGAAGCCTGCTGTGTACCTCGACAGCTATGACTTTGCTACAGCTGGCCTAGGCCACTCTCTATAAAGCAAGTTTGCTGAAACACTTTAGTTGCCATGGTTCCATCTGCTTGCCAAGAACAACTGAGCGGGGCTGATGTTGGGGGTGATAAGCTGCCACCTGCAATGCCAGCATCCCACATGGATACTGGTTTGAAACCCAGTTGCTCCACTTCCAATCCAGCTCCCTGCTAATGGTCTGGGAAAGCAGCGGAAGATGGTTCAAGTGCTTGAGCCCCTGCATCCACATGGGAGACCTGGAAGAAACTCCTGGTTCCTGGCTTGGGCCTGGTACAGGCCTGGCCCAGCTATTGCAGCCATTTGAGGAGTGAACCAGTGGTTGGAAGATATTTCTCTTTCTCTCTCTATCCCCCCTCTTCTTCCCTCTAACTCTGCCTTTCAAATTAAAAAACAAAAACAAAAACAAAAAAACAAGTGGCCTTGTGGGCATCCTGCAACCCTTTCCCAAGTGTCCTTTATAGAATATATATAAACATATGTGAATTGAAAACACATTATTTACTGACTTTTAAATCTCTGTATTAAAAGCATTAGCTTTTATATCTAAAAAATAAGATATTCAACTGATATGTAAATTGAGAGATAAAATTGATGACCAGTGGTAGATCAGGAAGTGCCAAATGGCAAGGAGAAAATCAGGCAGGAAAGGGGAGAGGGGGGCACTGGGATGAGAGTTGGCGAAAGAGAAGACTGGTGGCAACGTGTAATAGCTCAGAGAAGACATGGCCGTGAGGGCAGCACGAGCAAAGCCTTGGAGGAGGTGAGGCAGCCAGCCACTGCGGTACCCGAGGGCCTGCTGCAGCACGGTGACACCCCGAAGACCTAAGACGGGGTTGCAGGCAGGGAAAGGGGCTCGGGTGGCTGCAGGAAGTGAGCCGGCGCGAGGTGGAAAAGGCAGCGGGGGGAGGGGGAGAGTAGCAGCAGGGCCCCTCGTTTGGGGCTGTGGCAGTCACTGTGAGGGCTTAAGCTTTGTCCCTTTAAAAAGGCACATTTTTGATCTGAAGAATGAAATTAGTTGACTTTTGTTTTGGCAGTTTCACTCACCGACACGGGGAAGATAGATCCTAAGCCGGCCAGGGATACCAGGGAGGCTCTCAGAGGGGAGACCAGGCAAGAAAGTGTGGTGGCTTGGCCCACGGTGGCAGCAGTGGGGATGCGGAGGAATAATTGGATTCTAGATGTATGTGGGAGATCAAAGCCGATGGGGTTTGCTGAGTGGATATAGCGTGGTGGGACGAAGGAGGCAGGGTGATGGGAAAGGTTTGGGCTGAGGACTTAAAAGGACAGAGTCATCACTTCCGGGCATGAGGACGATTGCAGGAGCAGGTGTGCAATGGGAAGAGATGGGCATAGCTGCATCTGGAGTGGAGCCTAGAAAAAGCCTGCAGGACTCCTCACATGAAAGCACCTCCGAGGAGTCAGGAAACCTGAGTTGTGTCTCAGGCGTGTCGCTGACAAGCTGCCAGCCCGTCAGGAATCGCCTTATTCTCTCGACCTCAGCTGCTGCTCCTGTGAATGAGCTAGACCGGACGTCTTAATCTCCTTTATAGCTCCAGTTCTATTTTGCTCTTCAGTGATTTTTCAGGAGATAGCTGATCAAAATGCCTTTCTAGACGACTGCACAACTGCGTTGTATGAGATAAAATATGTGGGATGATGATACTTGATGTTCAAGATACAATTAATGATTTATTCTAACTTTGTGGTGCTGAAATCTTCATTCTGAACTGTGTGAGGGAAAGCCAGGACACGAGGGATCTGGGCGGCTTGTGGTTCTACCACCTGTTACTTTAAGTAGTGGAGGCTCTCATTTTTCTCCCAAGAAATTCCATGTGCTTGTAGATTCTGTACTAAAACTATCGTCTATTCTTATTTAAACCTTGCTAAAAGAGTCTGGCACAGGATAGGCATTCAGCATCCTTCGTCCCACCACACTATATCCACTCAGCAAACCCCATCGGCTTTGATCTCCCACATACATCTAGAATCCAATTATTCCTCCACATCCCCACTGCTGCCACCGTGGGCCAAGCCACCACACTTTCTTGCCTGGTCTCCCCTCTGAGAGCTTCCCTGGTATCCCTGGCCGGCTTAGGATCTATCTTCCCCGTGTCGGGGAGTGAAACTGCCAAAACAAAAGTCAACTAATTTCATTCTTCAGATCAAAAATGTGCCTTTTTAAAGGGACAAAGCTTAAGCCCTCATAGTGACTGCCACAGCCCCAAACAAGGGGCCCTACTGCATCAATTAGCAAACGAAAATGCTGTAATTAATTTAACGTTAGGTACCTTGCAGGATACATTGTGTTTGTGACTCACTGTTCTCTTTTGTTTTTATATTTTTGAGGTATTATTTATTTTATTTGAAAGAGTTAAAGAGAGATGAGAGAGAGGGAGAGAGAGGAGTTTTGGGGGCAGGGAGAAGAGGAGGGGAGGGAGAAGGAGAGACACAGAGAGAGGAAGATCTTCCATATTCTGGTTTATTCCCCAGTTGGCTGCAAAGGCCAGGGCTGGATCAGTGTCTTCTTTTAAACTCCTGCCATCTCTTTTATTTTATTATATAGTAGGTGTAATTCCTTTTACTTGGGGATGTCTAATTGATTCACTCAGTCATCACTGACTTGCTAAGAGAAAGGAGCTGGCCTTCCCACCATTCTCCTCCAGGGCGCTGCTCAGAGTCTGTGCTCAGGTGTGGTAGCAGACGGTGCCCAAAGAGCAGGTGGGCGGCCGTGAGTTCTGTCAGCCTCTGTGTTCTGTCGCTGTTCACACCAGAAGCTCTGGTACTCCGGCAGGGTTGTGAGGAGTGGGTACTCTGGACGGTAAACACTGTTGTCTGAAATACAGTCTCGCCTGCTAAATGCCTTAGACTGTCTCTCTGCATTCTTCATTATTTGCTTCTCTGAAATGGGTAGGATCTTTTGAAGCTAACGTTGGTTAAAGACAGTGGATCTCATCCCGTCTTGTGTGTCCAGTCCAGCCCCGGGTGGCCTTCTGAACCCCTCCCTGGTGAAAATGCTCTTCGGCTGCACCAGCCAGCTCGGCTCCGATGGAACGCGTGCCCGCTTCACTTGGATAGGCAGGCTTCTACACCAGGTATCCCTCAGCCCCTCTGAAAGCTCCTTAGGAAGTGTTTGTTTTAAAGTTTTTGCTTTAAAGTTTCTCCCCCAATCTCAATTTGAAAAAGACTAATTAAATGTAATAGAAGAATAACCCAGTTGATACTCACAAACTCTTTGTGCGAGATTCCCCTTTTGTTAACATTTTGCCCCATTTGCTCCTGCCCCCCGCTCCCCAATCTCTGTCTCCCTTATCATTGTGATGTTTTGATGGGGCCGTGCTTGCTGGTAGCAACTTACCACACTGTCAAAGAAGAGATTGTGTGTCTGCTGCCTCAGGTATTCCACCGGGCTTGTGATCCTGGACCAGGCAACGGCAGAGTGGTATTGCCGTGATGGTGAAATTGACACCGGACCACCTTCCTGCACCCCTGGCCAGTGCCAATCTGATAAAAACTTCTTTTGCAGGGTTGATCTAGCTCAGTTTATTTTCTGACTTCTGATTTATGGCCAAATAAAATCATATTGAGAATTAAGTGTTCGATGCTAGGATACAGTTTTTCACTAGTATAAAATAAAGCTTCAGTTGAAATATTTAAAAGTAAGTCCACGTGATTCACAGGTTCTTTGCTCCCAGGCCTGACATCGGACGTTCTGTGGCTGTTTACATCCCCTCCTTGGGTTTCCATTTCATGCGGTTATCTAGATTTGAATTTGGTGCCAATTGCAGACACTGTCCCTCTTGAGAACTAAAAAACACACAGTTTATTATTTGGTTCAAAGCTGCTGCAGTTTTTCAGAAGGATTTATTGTGCAGATCTTGTCAAAGCCATACTGTTTACCCAACATTTGTGTACAGGAATACAACAGCGCAGTGTAGCTGGGACTACAGGGAAAACATTGTGTTAAGTTAGGTAAGCCCGGTGATGTAAATGCGGTCTAATTTACAAAGCTGTTGGGAATACAAGATTTATTAATCCAGTCGTGTTTGAGGGCTCAGCGTTTAAATAATTACCATTTTCATGTTGCAGATTTCAAAGGATTTTTGATCAGGATGCAAACCAAGAGACCATTTTTGTCAACATTGCCAAACCAGTTGCTGAGAGGTAGGTGTTTCCCATATTTTGTTTAGTGTTAAGGGTTTCACATCTTGTCTTCAATTTTCAGGTAATCCTGGTAACGTGATTCTGTATATCAAGTATATAATACTCAGGCCATTGGCTGTGTAGCGATGATAGCATTGGTACCTTCTGTTCATGTCACCATTTGTTTCCGATTCAGATTCTGAGCCTCCAAACAAACCAGAGGTAGGCAGGTTGGCTGTGATCACTCCCATTGTAAAAGATACGTGAATTGGGGAGGGCAGAGCTCACGTGGCACTGCTCAGAGATGCATGGCTAGTGGTGACCGAGTCTTAGATGGTTTTCTGGCTACTGAGTTCAGTGCTCTTTCTTCAGGGCAGTATTTCAATCATACGGTTAGATGGACAAAGGAGAAGGTATGCGTGGCACCAAGAGGCCCAATGATGGATCCTGCTCTACTTCAGTGTCATTCCAAGCTTGCCACGGGGCCCTAGGATCCTTGGCTCCAATATGTCCATGTAGTTCCAAGCTATTGACTACTAGAAGCAGACTCACATGGGAATGCCAGGCACATCAGAATGCCAGTTTACTGATACACTCACATACTGACAGTCTCTTTGGGACTGGGCACTCTAGCCCTTTGGTAAGCACCCTGTCCTCCTGTAGGGAATCTACATAGGAAATTACTTCTTGATAAGGTTGCTTCCTGATTCTGAAATCGTTTGGATGACTTTAATGACCTAATAATCCCAGAATATGTCTGTCCCTGCAGTTAAAATGAGAAATATGTCAGCTAAATAAACCCAGTTTTCAAGTCTGTGAATCAGCATACAGTGTCCCATGGATGATGCTGAAAGCCCATTGCCATACTTTGTCTCTCAGACTCCTGTTTGATGAATCTTACTCAGATGAAGGCCTTCTCCTTTAACAGGCTCCTTTCATTGGGTCGAGTATAGTCAAACACATTCAGCCTCCTTGTAACGTAAGATCACAATCCAGTAATACCTCTGTAGATTTTGTTCTTATCTCCCAGATTGGATGCCAAACATTTCTTAAAGTGTCTTCCTTTTATAAATCATTTGGAGTATGTAATTTTTCAGATTACTGGTCTGACGTATTTTATTTTGAAACTTCCTAAAATCATTTGTTGGGGTGTGGATCTTAGCTTCTGTTCCATGGATACTGGTGTTTTCTTCCCATTACTGAATATTGACCCCATATTAGCCTCACTCAGCTCCTGCAGTTACTGCCCCTCTCCTCTATAGAAAATTTGTCAAAATGGTTGCTTATAGTCATAATTTCATTTCCTCTCTTGAACTGTGTTTTTATCAGATTTTGGTCCTTACTGCTCTACTGAACTTATTTTAATCAAAGTCAGCTGTAGCTCCTATTGCTAAATCCAATGAAGGTTACTTCTCAGTCCTCATGTCATTTGTTATGTCCACTTTGGGGCACAGTTGATTATTCCATTCTTCCTTGAAATACTTTGTTCACTCAGCTTCTGGTTTTCCACTTACGCTGCTGACCACGCCTTCTCAGTTAATTTACTTGCCTTTAATTCTGTACAGTAACTCTGTGCCTTTGCTCAGAAGTCAGCTTCCCTCAGAAGTCAACATGGCTGCGTCTGAGCAATCTGAAGTTTTTGCTCATGCACACCACTCTCCCAGGAAGGTCTGCCTCGACTACCCTATTGAAAACTGCACTCCAAGGCCAGCGCCGCACAGCTCAATAGGCTAATCCTCCACCTAGCGGTGCAGGCACACCGGGTTCTAGTCCCGGTCAGGGTGCCAGATTCTGTCCCGGTTGCCCCTCTTCCAGGCCAGCTCTCTGCTGTGGCCAGGGAGTGCAGTGGAGGATGGCCCAAGTCCTTGGGCCCTGCACCCACATGGGAGACCAGGAGAAGCACCTGGCTCCTGCCATCGGATCAGCGCGGTGTGTCGGCCGCAGCGCACCAGCCGTGGCGGCCATTGGAGGGTGAACCAACGGCAAAGGAAGACCTTTCTCTCTGTCTCTCTCTCACTGTCCACTCTACCTGTCAAAAAAATAAATAAATAAAAAGAAAAAAAAAAAAGAAAACTGCACTCCCATTTCCCTTCCCCCTTTTCTTTATTCTAGCATTCATCACCATCTGACATGCTATATAGTTTGATTATCTCTTGAGGTCTTTTTGATTTGCATTTGTTCATGACTCAGCAGAGACACCAACCCAGTGGCAACAGGATTGTAGAAGTAACAGGTAGCTCAAGTTGGTCCATTCTTTATCAGTAAGAAATGTCTCTCTTTGTCCTTTTTATAGCTTTTCTCCTTGTATCCCCTTTTTTTTTTCCTAAAACTTTTTGCTATTTTTTTTTCCTGTTAGCCTTGTCTGGTTTATCTTTTTCCATCTCTTATTTCTTTCAAAGTTTATCATTCATTTTTATTTATCTGAAAGCCAGAGAAAGAGAGAGAGAGATTCTAACAATGGATTCATACCCCAAATGACTGCAACAGCAAGGCTTGAACCAGTGCCCATGTAGGATGCTGGCATTGCAGGAGGCGGCTGAACCTGTTATGCCACAATGCCAGTCCTGACATTTTTATTTTTAAATATGAGTCTGTTCAATCAAATATAGCCGACTTTTGCCTTTTTAGCCAAACCCAAAGTGCTTGGCGTTTAATCGGTTACTTTAAGATGTTTATATTCATCATTATTACCATAACAGTATTCTTCCTATTCGCTTTTGCGATTTAGTATAGTTCCTATTTTTTTCTTTCTTGCTTTTCATTCTTCATTTTTATTTTTACTGCTGGCACTTTCCTCCCTCAGTTGTACATTGTATTTCAACACTTGTAGTTTAAACTGAGATATTTAAACTTATTTGTATTTTTCTCAGTGTCTGCAATTTCTCTCTTCTCTTTCTCTGCCTCTCCCTCTCTGCCTGTTTCTCCCTTCCTTGTCTCTCTCACTCTGTGCTCGCTCGCTCTTTCTCTGTCCTTGTGGTCAGGCACCTTGGCATACTTCTGCTTCGCCTGTCCTGTTCTCCTGCCAGAGAACAGAGTGGAGAATGAGTGATACTTTGTCCTGGATTGGTGTTAATCTTTTTTGTTAGGAACATTTATTTAAATTTATGTCTCGTTATACCTGTTTCTTGCACTCATGTGTATTTATTAGTGTCTTTTATGATAATCATCATCCAGTGGCTTTCTAAAGATAGATCAGGACTTGAGAACTCTCTAAAGCCTTTTACTTCCTTTCACAGTTAAGAATTCAAACTTAAAACTTCTTTTCTCCCTCAACTATGAAGATATTGCCCCATTATCTTTTTGCATGCAGTGTTTTTGAAAATAGATCCATCTGATTTGCTTTTATTTTTAAAAACACTTATTTTTGCTTTTTAGATGTCTTCAAGATTTTTTTCTTTTTATAAAACTTTCTGCCTGTGATTCTAGGTATGGGTATTTTTTCACCTATTCTTGTCTCTCATTCAACCATTTCTATCTGAAAACACTTATATTTCTATACAAGGACCCTCACATTGATAACTTCTTTGATTATTAAAAATATTTTCCTTATATAGAATATAGCTCTCCTTTCCTTCTGGAACTTCCAGTTCTAGAACTAGTGCTTCTATCCTTCAAATATTCTAGCTGTCCATTCATGGCTCCCATCTCTTTGTTCTTTGGCGCTGGACTCTGGAGCAGTTTTTCAGCTCAGGCAAATTCTGCTTGGTTGCCCACCTCTAAACTTTTTATTTTCACTATTGTCTTGTTTTTCATTTCTAAGAAATGACAAAGTCTGTTCTTGTCTATGAATGTGATTTCCTCCTTTTCTTTCTGAAAATACTCATTACCTTCTTTTGAAACATTGGAATTTTTCCTATCCACCTTCTTTCCTTGAACCTGGTGCCTTGTCTTCATGGTGCAGTTTCCTCAAACACTTGGTGGTTCTTAGTGTTGGACTGAGCTCTCCCATGTGAGTGCTGTCATCTGGGGGTGCTGTTTCTGCTCACTGTAGTGCTTCCCCTGCAGTGTCTGTAGGGGATGGTGGCCTGGCCTGTGCCATGGGCATGCTGTGCCTGAGCTTGTGTGCTGGGCACCAGGCCCTCCTTCTCATGGGTGTCGGGGCTCTGGTTACTGTCGCTAATCCAAGCTCCTTCTCTGTAGAAAAGTGTGCTGTGACAGTGGATAGACACATGGAGCATATTCACATTTCCCTTCATCTCCGAAGGAGAGGGTTATTAAGTAAATTAACTTAGTAAAATTAAGAGCCTGGGGACAGAATCACTTTTGTCATTTACTTCAAATATGTCATATACAGTATGTTCACATTTTTATACAAACTTGAATTCTGTGATTTTTAAAGTGGTAAAACATAAAATATTAATAAAATCTCACATTACACATTTGAAGTAATATTTATCCCATAAATTGAAAATCAGTTTATGAATGACCTAATGGAATCTGTACCACTTTAAATGTTAAACAGAAATGTCTACTATTCCTAGGAAACATTAGCCTACAGGAACTTATTCCCAACATAAAATCCAGCCTTCTAAAGGCCATTTAAAGTTATCCTATTGAGTTAACACATGACAACATAATTGTGGTTAGTATATGGAATTAAAACTAAATAGAATTAAACACATTTATTTCCAAAATTCCACAGTTCAGGAATCTCACTAATTTGTACTTAACTTTTCCAACTTAGTCCAAATCATTGATATTATGCTGCATACTCAGTGACTGCAGGAATGGAGAGAAGTTGTAAAGCTTTAACTTTGCATCACTTGAATCACTGAACATTAAGTAAAAATCTTTGCACTGTATCCATTCATCAGTTAGTGGACATCTGGATTGATTCCATATCTTAGTTATTGTGAGTTGAGCTGCTATAAACATGGGGGTATAGTTAACTCTTGTGTATGCTGATTTCATCTCCTTTGGGTAAATTCCTAGGAGTGCAAAGACTGGGTCCTAAGGGAGATATATTTTCAGATTTCTGAGGAAACTCCATATCATCTTCCATAATTGTTATACTAGTTTAC